TAGTTAACATGCAAAATTATACATCATTTTAAATAAATCTGAAATATAAAACATTCATGTAACTCATTACCTGAGCCAGTAAAATTTCGCCAAGGACGCAATATAGATACATGTGTGTAAATAAACTAATAATAGTCGGTATGAAATAAATTAAGTGAATGATCGACATATTTCCCTCATCGAATAGCTAATTAAATTATGAAAAAACATAAACAACATAATTATTCCTATTAATATTAATATTTATATAAATTTAAATGTAATAACTTATTGATTATAATCATTAAAATGTATACAATTATTCAGCAAGACAATTTAGACATAAACGTTTTTTTATTCAATTTCCAATTTCAATAATACTTACACTAATTATCCGAAATCCATAAAAAGCAAAGAGTATCACAAAATATATAAATAAAGAGAGAAGTATTTTATTATACGTATCTTCAATGATATTAATAGCTCTATAAAAAACATTTTATGTATCAAATTAATATTTTATATAGATTATCACATACATATATGTTTTCTTACAAGTTACAAACCTAAGTAAATGAATATGTTTTTCTATGCAGCATTTCAGTACTTGGGGATAATTTTTGTATTTATCCAAATGTTGCATACGATTCGCAAGAATATCCAATTGTCCGCATATATGAAAAACCACGAGACTGAGAAAATTGTCCACTCCACTATAAGTCATCATGGCGATAACTAAATAAACTGCTTGACTAATAAATGTTAATTCATATTGCGGACTTTTTGTTATATCATAAATATAGTGAGATTGTAAAGGCATTAGCATCCTTCCTGGATCAGTAATATTGGATGTCAGTCTCATTGTCACTCCAAAAATTGGCAGTACAGAAATGAAAGTCCATTGTAATGCTATTATGCAGTAGGAACAAGTAATAATTATTCGTGCAGTTTGTGCTCTTCGTATCATTAAATTTCTCTCCTGATCATTTTTTATTTTTTTCCAATCCTTCATAATCATGTTTAGAATCGGTATAATAGCTTAAAAAGAAAATAATTTTATGCATGTTTTACAGTATAATAAAGATATATTAAAATCAATCGTAAATCATAAAAAGTATATGAAAGCAGTTATATTTTTAATAAAAATATATTAAAATCAATCGTAAATCATAAAAAGCATATGAAAGCAGTTATTTTTTTTAATTCTTTAAAGTTTAAAGCATAATAATATTATAATTTAAAATCAGAAATATTATTTAATCTACGAAAAAAGTAAATTCAATAATATTATTTACATACGTATATATGTAAATTTTTTTTATTGACATAAATGTACGTGTTCATGAGTATATACTGAAAAGATTAATATAACATTCTGTTTTATAAATTATATAATATTTTTATTTAGAAAAAATGGTTATTTATTAGGTTAATTATTTAAAAATAGTTAATTATTTAGTATAAGAGACTACCCTCTAATAATTTTAACCTTAACATATGTTGTCAGAATCCCGAGTGACTTTGAACAAATTTTAGCTGTCGCTCGTTATCCGTTAAAAAGTTGTCAACAAAAAAAGTTCATTTTAAAAATGCGGTTTTAAAGCAAAGAATTTGTAAAGCATTCCTTGAAAAAGAAACAAATATGTCATCACACATTAATTAACTGGTCTAACTTTTTTGCAGAGAGGGGGGGAGAGGAGTAATTCATGTAATGAAGAACAATATCATTTGTAAAGCAGGAAATTTATGTTTTTGAAGTAAAATATTTGTATCTTTAAGACAGAAAACTTGTTTATTTATTTAAAAATTTTCTACTTTAATAAATATTCAATTTGGTTTCTCAGTTCATGAATCAATGATTAACAAACAACCAAAATTAAATTGGCGGAGAATTATTGTCGATAAGGCAAAATCATATAAGAAAAATTATATAAGAAAATATTTTGCGCTGTAAAACAGAGAATTTGTTTCATCAGAGCACAGTTGTGTCCGAAACTTAGTTTTATTGATGAATTTTTGTTAATAACTTTTTAAGGAACAACGAGCGACGATTAAAATTTGTTCAAAGTCATCGGGGACATGACTTCGATAACATATGTCAAAGGCAGAGTCATTGGAAGATAATTTCCTACTAAACAATTAATCAAAAAATTAGCGATAAGAATTTTATTTAAAAGATTGTATTTTAAGTTTTATACATATCTACCAATCATATTTATCTGTCAACCAAAAACTTCGAAGCATTAGCGCCAAATGGATTGCATCCTATTAACATATGTACCCTATTAACATAT